AGCGCCACCTGATCGATGCAAGACCTCTGTAGTGGCGCAGGTCAAAGTCATTCATGACGTTACGGCGTGTATTTATAAAATCAACTGCGACAAACCAGTCTCCAAATGGTCCTTTCGGACAAAACTTGAAGAGCAACAAAAGGATAAACTTGTTGGACGTTTAAAAGTGTCATCCGGCCTTGTGGAGCGAACGAAGGAGCTCGGAATTTTTGACTTCAAAATAAAACTTCAGTACAAGCAAAATTAGCCTCCCCCGCAGGCGTTTTTAGGGAAGAAATACGATCTCCCCTAAAAACGCCTGCGGGGGAGGCTAAAGCGAAATGTGCCCGAGGCCGAGTTTCCGAAGGGACGGATATTTGCAATTGATAGTCAGGATCAGTTCGAAGAAGACCCTGTTGCTCCCTCTTCTTTGAATTTGTTTTGTAAAGATGCATTTGTAGTAATCAAACCAGGATACCAGCCATCTCGACTACCAGAAGCACCCTTCTTTCTTGGGCAAATGTAAGAACAACGTAAAAGCATCAGAGAGAAAACTGACAGTCTCCATTTACGCTCAAGATCAACTCCTCCCCTTCAATTTTGTTGATGCGCAACTCCAGTGCCAAATTGAAATCAGTGGCATATTGCATAAAGCTAAGAATGTTCGAATTGAGGATGATGTCGTGGCACTGGATGAAGATGAATATTCTAGTTGTGTCATTGATTGTTTGGACTATGGGGATCAGACAACAGCACAAGAGTCAGCTGAGATTGGAGAAGATGTGTCAGAAGAGGCCGAGGCATCTAATGAAGTCGTTCAAGTGCGACCCTCAGAGACAACAGTGCAAACCACAAGGTCTGGACGAACACCGCGACCCCGAGATCAATCATTACACCTGTTCTACGATTGACAGTCAAATATCCACGCTTACTAATGACACTAATGTCTCTATGGTTGATTAATACCAAAGATAAACTGCTGTTTGACACAAATTGTACCATTCGTGCCACTGGACTGTACAGAACACATGAATTATCCAAATGCTCAGGACGGCAACTAACTAATAAAGGAACAAAATGAGAAAGGACTTTGGTATCAGGCGATATGTAGAAATTAAGGGCATCGGAACCGCCGCCTGGTTAGCTCAGTTGGGAGAGCGCCGGTCTGCTGAGCGGGAGGTCGCGCGTTCAAACCCCGGCCGGACCAACACTTAGGGTCTTTAAATAACTAAGAAGAAAGTGCTGCCTTTGTAATGACATCTGCAAATGGTTAGACTTTCTAGTCTTCTCGGATATGGACGAAAAACCGTAGGTCCCGTCTCACAGCACTTTCACTGATCTGTTCTTGTGGGACGTAAGAGAACCCACACTACTGTTCGAAAAGAGTAGGGGACGTAGACCCCGGTGGTGTGAGTAGTATTGGTCGCACCTGAGGCACACTTAGTACTTCATGTCATAGTCACGAAGTGTCCTCTAGGTGGTACGTCATAAAGTAGGTAGTCATAAAGTGTCCTCGGATGACGTCATCAAAAATTTTATTCATTAATATTCAAGATGGCGTCTTCGGATCGGGTCGAGCTCGGGGGCGCTAGGGTCATACTCGGAAAGTAGTTATTTAATAAATTGTAGAAGGGAAGTTATATAGGTGAATGAAAGTTGTGACTTAAAACATGTGGGATAGAATGTGTGTCTCTGACCAAATTGCGCAGAACGCATGCGCAGTAGTGGATTTAAGGGAAAAACGTTTTAAACGTTTTCTAAGTGTTCCAGTTATTTTGTAAGTGATTGGAAGAGTTTCGCAAGGTAAATAGGAATACCAGTTTAAGAAAAAAGTATTTTATTACAGTGTTTTAAGATTGCGTTCTTCTGAGATAACGTTTACAGGTATCGCACAAGGCATCCATTTCGCCAGCGCCAATCCACACACACCTTTTCAGGTCTGCCTCTTTCTTCTCAGCGTCTCTCTTCGGCGTCTCTTTATCTCTTTTCTTTTGAGTGTTCGAATATACTCTTTGAGTGTGAGAGTGTGAGAGTGTGAGTTTCTTTCAGTTTTAAAACAACGGATAAAGAGCTCGGGGAAGCATGGTTTGGCTGTCAAGCTGAAGTAAAACATCTTAAGGCAGTTTTAAAACTGAAAGTGTGTAAATTATAAAAATGTGAACGAGAGATTTATTGACGCGTTCCACTCAGTGGTTTCGTATGCTACTTCACGTGCGCTTCAAAAATTTGCATGTAAACTCGCTGAGTCAGCTAAAATAATTTTGCTCCTATGTCTTAGAAAGAAAGAAAGAGAGAATCGAACCCGTAAGCTTAAACGCATTGAAAAGGTACCTCTCAGTCAGTACTAATGCGTAGCACTTTGCGCTACGCACGTTCCCGACGAAAGAAAAAGAAAAAATAAACAAGTCTTTCCAAACCTTGCTATTGCCACAAGATTTAGAAAGAACGGACTGACCGGGATTCGAACCTGGGTCACCTGCATGACAAGCAGGGATACTAAACCACTATACTATTAGCCCTTTCAGAGTATTGGTCATCAACTTTTATTTAGTTGGTGTTTCCTAAAAGAGCCGTCTTTCCATCCTTGTTCTAAAAGAACCACGTCCTCGTTGTCCTGTTCCCACGTGAGTTCCAATAAATTCTTTAACATGTCGACTAAACTAAATTGTAACCAAAAGTTAGAGGTTTTTACATGTTCTGTTCTAAAAACATGCCTCTCGTTAATATGGTCTGCGTGTGCTTGCGTTAGGAAACTGCTCTCGGTTTCAAAAGGCGAAGCCATCGTTGAAAATAAATTTTTTCTTTTTCATCTTAAAACAGAATGCAAAACAAAAGAGTCCAACTTGAAAAAGAGCGAAAAGTTTATTTGTTTTTGCCGCTAACCTTTAAACTTAAAAGCGAAGTGAACTTTTTAGCCGCTAAGGTTTAAACTTGAAAGAACGACGAAAAGTTAATTGGTTTTTGCCGCTAAACATTTGTTTTCACTGGACAAAGCATAACGTTTGGTCAAGGTGTAGCGATATTTGAGTAACTTTGTGTCACTACTGCTGTGAATGACCGCAGAACTATGTCCTACATCGGGAACAGACACACTCCACAAACTGGCTTGCCAGGTATTGCCTTCTAAATTGAGTCGCACCGGTAAACGAACTTTAAAACTATTATTTTTGTTTTGGGGGTGTTCATCCGTTGGATCACTTATCAAGGTCAAACGAAAATCCTTCATAACGCTTGCAAATCTTTTTTCCACACCCAACTGTTGTATTTTTTTGGCCAACCCTTCCAAGACACAAAGACTTGTTTCCCTTTTCGTTTTAAGACTTGATCAATACGAAATAACGTATCATCAGGTACAATCACTTTTTGAACGTCCGCCTGATAAAACGTTCCTTTTATAGGAGTTCCGTCCCATTCCGTGAGCTTATAAGTAACAACCGGTTTTTTAGTATAGACTTGTTTCACTAAAAACACTTGTTCTGTCCACCCTCGCAAATAGCTTTTTTTAAATGGGCGAAATTTTTATTTAATCTCACTTTATCTCCAGCTTGACATTGCGGTTTTTTCACTTTTATTTCTTTTTTGGTACCATATAAACGATACCAAATCTCCGTTTGGTTTTTTGAGGAAACATTGTCAGGTTTTTCTTGAATACTGCGATGAAAAGTATGATTATACGTTTTGACTAAAGCAGGTAACACAACAATATACTTGAGTGTATTATGCGCCGTAAAATAACGAAACATGTTCGTTTTCAATGTTCGATTCCATCGTTCTAGCACTGAACCATGAGGGTCTCCATGCGTCGAAAAATGATTCACTCCCTGTTTTTTAAAAAATGCTTGCACTTTAGCATTATAAAATTCACCGCCAGAATCTGTTTGTACTTTTTCAGGCAAACGATCTCCTAATCTTGCCCATAGTCTTTCTAAGGCCTCCACCATCGTTGTGGCGCTTTTACTCTTTAACGGTTCTACCCACGCAAATTTCGAGAGCACATCAATCACCGTCAGTAAATATTTGTAGCCTTTGTTGTATTTGGCTAGTTTTTGCAAATCTACCAAGTCCATGACAAATTGTTCGTTGATGTTAAACACAAGCGTAGGTAAAGTTTTAAAACGCCGACGTCGAGGTTTATGCAGTAACTCAGCACTTGCTGCAGTTCCTTCTTGGCTTGGGATTGAGGAATCTTGTGAGCTTTGGCAAATTTGGCAATTCCTCCCAGTGATCCAGGTTCTGTAGGATCGACATAAGAAGCAGATAATTTTGTTTCCATGGTACGATAGATACTGTCCTGCTAAATACGAAAATGAATACATGTTCTTTGAATAATGCTTCTTTAAAGAGCGAAACACGGTTACTCCTTCAGAAGGAAAGTGCCGATGTAACCAAGTGATGTAAATTGCATAATGTCCCCAGGACAATTGGTTGATACATCATAAATTTAAACAGAGCAATAGGATGAAAAGTGTCTTGAAAGAAGGCAGAGTCTGCACAAATATGTTGGCAAATCCACACAGTACTTCTATACTGCAGATTTCCCATGACAGAATGACTGCTTTTAAAAACAAATCACCCACTTTATACATGTCTATCGTCTAATTTTAGAAACAGATCATTCCACATGTTAGAGCATGTTCTAATCCTAAGGGGTTAGGGTTTAACCCTAACCTTAGTAGCATTTTAACCTTAACCCTAACCCTAATCCTAACCCTAATCCCAAGGGGCTAGGGTTTAACCCTAACCAAAAACAACTACAAACAATTCCTTTTCAACGCTTTTATTTAAAAATTGACACATTTTATGGAAGCTCCTTGTTTGAGACCTTCAAGAAATTGTTCATGACACTTGGGCAGTTCAGGCTCACGATACACATTCACCAACTGAGCAAAAAAACGTTCCTCAACTGCCGTTAAAGGCAATCCCTTCTGCTTTCTGTTGCGGCAGTAGGAAGCTAAACTGCACACTTTTTAAGGCAAATAACCAAAAGGCCAGTCAACATACGCTGCTTTTGCGATGGCTGCTTCGTTCTTCTCATACTTTTCTGCACCTGGGGGAGGTTTCCACTCATCATGTTTGTTGGCTTGACAAGCTTCTAAATACTTTTCATCAGCAGGTGATAGCATAACACCTTTCAATTTTTGCTTCTGCAAATAGGATGCTAAACTTCTATCTTCCTCAGGAACTTGCTTTCTCCTTTTGATGCGAGCATGAAACTCATGATTGGCAATACTAACAGCCTCATTCCATTGCTCACGTTTCTTGAGCTCCTTGGAAATCTCTGGACTCCAATGAAAGGTGCTTGGCAGAGGGGTGCTCTTCCAAGGATACTTTGTTTGAGCTTTTCTTTGTTCTTCTTGCTTTTTGGCTGCTTCAGCAAACTGGTTCAACCATGTCTGTTGCTGTACGTCTTTACATTCTGTTCGAGTTTGGGCATCTTTTTGCCACCCATTGCGTTGTTTCCACGTTTCAACATTGGCTTCAGCTTGTTGCTTCCACTCACCTAGGTTCGTAGCATACTTGAGTTTCTGGAGGGGTCTCTTATCGATAAACAGTGGTGTGTGAATCCACTGAAAGTATTTGCAGCGGGTTGCAGCTGAAGCGGGTGTTCCACAGGTTAAGAAGACTTTGTTCAGGTTTCTGGCCGTCTTGCTAAGGCGTAGGATAGGAATTCGCGAGCAATGACATTTCAATTCTCCCCATTTGGTTCGTACTTCTACATGCATGTCTTTCTTTAAGGCATCATACACTTTCAGTTTGTCCAATTCTTTTCCATAAAATCTTGGGAAGAGTTTCTTTTCTTCAAAACAAGGAAGCAAAAATTGAGTGTTTAAAGGACCGTCAGGACCGCCAAAATCTACGTTCATCATTTCAAGATCTTCTTTACGCGTTTCACAAGCCATTACCACAGAGAATGTGATTTGAACAGAGATTGCCCCAATTTTATAAGACTCCTAAGGTCCCTAGGGTATTGGGCAAGAATCCCCAAGGGTGTTAGACAAGTAAAGACACGTTTTTAATCGGATCACAATGTTTAATGCATTCATTTTTACAGTTATAAGGAAATTTAAATCTCCTTCTTCTACTTTTGGTCGTTTCTCTAACTGTAATCTTTCTTGTACCATCTCATGCATTCGTTTCTTGAGAGCTGAGGGTGTAAAAGCTTTAGGGACCTTAACAGGTTTAGGTGCTTGGTGAATTCACTGAAAATAATTGCACCTGGCTTCTCTCTCCTTAGGGCAGCTTAGGAACACTTTGTTTGGATTTCTTGGTGTTTGACTGAGCTTGAGTCTAGGCACTAATCCACAGTGGCACGCAAAGGTTCCCCATTGTTGATGGATTTTGGGATGAATGCTGTTAGAAATGGTATCCAACACTGTCTGCTTGCTGTCTGCATTGCCAAAGTACACGGGGCACGTATAACAATTGGCAAGTCCTTTTTCAGGCAGGACAAAGTTGGTATGCAAAGGCTTGCTCGCATCCATCAGATACTCTTGCAAAGCGACTTCATCTAAATTAGGAGGTCACCATTCCACTTGTCGACCATCTTGTGTCACAGCGACTCCTTCTTCCATGATATGCACGGGAGCTAGATGAGGTTGTTTAGGCAAATCTAATGGTCTCTCTATAGGCCACCATTCCACTGTACGACCATCTTGTGTCACAGCTACTCCTTCTTCCAAGACTTTTACGAGCGCTAGGTCAGGTTGTGTTTCCATTGAACTTGGACCATTCAACACATCCTCACACATCATGTCTTCATAGGAAGGGAGCAATCCCTGTTCAAATGCTGGTTGTGCATTCTCATTGACAATCACTTGGGGTTCTGTTTTATCAGACATAAATTGATACTCATTATCTCTCTTCATTTTCTCATAGGGAAAATGAAACTCCTTGGCAGTCTGAACAATTGGTGCTTCTTCTACTGTTTCAATCACTTCGAGTCCACTGCTAGGTGCCTTTTTCGATGTTAAGCATTGATTCTTTTTTGATTTCTTTTCTTTCTTGGGAGGCTCCATGTCAAACGTTGGTTCTTGCAGATAACACATACAGCAAAAAACAAATCAAATACACGTAAATTTATACTCACTTAACATGCCTTTGGGAATTGGACATGTCTGGGCAATGACGTCACTCTTGTCACGTTCTTACACAATGAACACACCCTTGGGTATTCGGCATGTTGGGGCAGACTATAAAAGAGGTGACTCATGACTCAACATGACTCAACATGATTCAACATGACTCAGCCAAATGAAAACTCGTTTTATGTGACGTTGACTAGTAGTAAAACGCAGGAATTTCCGGGCACCATCCCATTTTCAATATTGTTTGCCTTAATCATTATGGTTACCAGGCAAATGGAAAGTGGGTTTGGCAAGTGCGTTTTTACCTGGCGTTTCCAATCCCATTCCCCATGTTGTCACATCCCATGTCAGTTCCTCTCTGACGAAAAATCATGACACAATTCCTACCAAACCTTTTGGTATTCGCTCGATTCGCAGCCTGTACCAAGGGAGCAATACCGATATTTTATTTCAACAATATGTCAAAGCTTTCAAATCTAGTCAATGTCAAGAATTTTTGTCCCAACTTAAAACAGCAGATTTGCAAGATGCCTCCAATGGATTTGATTTTTTGTCCAAAGTTTTTTGGTGGATGGAACAGGATTTAAACAAAAAATTACCCACGGGGTATGAATTTGAAGACAGTAATGATCGGTGGAGAATAGATGTTTCTGCTCAAGATAATTACACGACTTGGCTGCTTCAACATTACAATATTGACAGTACCAACAGAAAAGGTGTGCCTTATTTAGCCATTAATTTGATCTTGGCTCAACAAATGGGATGGGTTGTAGAAACAGCTAACAATGTGTTTGCGGTGGGACCGAATTTACTCATGGAACTTCCAGATGGTATTACTGGAGTAAAACCAGATCCCGCGACCTGTCTCATTGCAAAATTTACTTTTACTCAACCCATTCATGTAGTAGACGGATTGCTGTATCTTTGCTCCACGTTTAGTTGGCGCTTTGTGAATTTAAATGAAGCCTTTGACAAAGCGATTCATCAACCCTATGAAACCCAAAAAACAGCTTTGAATGTGTTCAAACCCTGGATGACTAACCTTAAATTATGGAATATGGATCTTGGACTCGACTTGGGCGATAAGTTTGTCGACCTGCCTGTATCTCCCCATTATTGGAAACACACGACTCTGAGAGTGACTTTGTTAAGAGGGGTACAAATTGTGGATGGTGTATCTCACGGAAAATACGCTGGGAAACTGCAGATTGATATGAGTTCATTAAAGCAAAACAACAGTTACACTGTGGCTTTAGAATGGTATCAAAAAGATGCTTGGCTATTTAATCGTTCTAACTTTAATGTAGATGGTTCAGGTTTAAAAGTCGACTACTTGTCCATTCAAAAACATACTCATGAGCAGAACAAAACACTTTTGATTTATTATCACACTCTTACTATTCAAGTCACTAAAACTTCAAGTAGTAATGCTACATTAAACATCGAGTTTGACATAGGGTTTCCACTGCCAGCGAAATACCCTTTTAGATTGAAAGACAACACTTTTTTAGTGCTGTATGGTGTGGATGGACATGTAGAACAGGTACCAGATGTGTATGACGATCACCCCGTCATTCCCTCTTCACACGCTACCACTGAAACCATTACTACCAGTGAGGGTCCAAAAAAGCTTCCACACTTCCTAAATCTCATGGAACAGACAATTTACGCCCTCTGTTTTTGTCTTGCAATTTAACCAAAAGCATTGATGGAAACAAAACCATCATGAAGTCTGTCGCTTATAATAACGAAAAAACACTGATTGAATGTAACCCCATTCAATTTTATTTCATGCGGAGTTACTTGGTGGACATTTTAGAAGTGACTGTGACAGAATGGAATAACATCATTCCCGACTTCAATCAGGTTAGTCCAGTCATTGTCACCCTGTTTTTCAAGAAAAACCTGACAGAGTCTCAACGAAAATACATTAAGTTGGATGAGTCAGTAGACCACGACCAATCTATTTAAGCAGCAAAGCACAGCACCATACTCATTCATAATGAGTGAGATCGAGTGGATCAACGTCGCTAGTAAATCACTTGCCTATTGTGCTCAATTGCTACAACAAATCCAACAACTCAAGGAAAAGTTTGAGACACTACAAGAAAAAGTGACTAGACTCGAACCTTTAGTGCAACAACTAGAAAAACAACATGGGGGCTACGACACCGTGCACTAAATTGGAACAAATGTTAAGAAAAGTTCAACCTTGTCAATTTCCATCCTACCAAGAATTTGTGCAAGCCTTGATGATTGAGACCTTGGCCAACACCAACATGACCTTTGATCAATTGAATTACGACTTGTTTGCTTTGAACAGAGAGATATTTCATAAGCTGAACAAAGAAACCACGGCCTTTTTCAAGTTCTTGGCAAACAAACGACCTGATATAATGATGGACCCTAAGGTTAAAAGCATTCACTATGCAACCATCAAACAGTCTAGACGACAGTTTACAGCATATGGAACCTTCTCTACTAGAAGGTTACAAAATGTTTATGCATGAAGTCATTATTCAAGGCATCAGTTATCACAATCTTAATGTGGACACATTGAACCGTTATTTATTTGACTTAAACAAAGAAGTGATGGACGAACTTTGTGCAAAAGCTATTTCTTACTACGACATGCATGCACCAGGCAAGATCAAGTCCTTTGGGAATTGAACATGCGTGGGCAATGACGTCATTGCTCTTCTATAAAAAATCAGGTTGGCCTCTACGCGTTAGCAAGACACTACGGTTTAAAGGTCGAAGTTCTCATTCCTCCTTGTCATCCCAGAAGAGCCTCCATTCAACCCTTAACACATCTTCAATTAGCTAAAGCTATTCCTACAACAAGACAAGTCCCTGCACGCCTCAACAAGCAGTTAGAGAACCCTATCAGTTCACAATATATCCACCGAAATTATCATGTGGTGAAACAAGCTGATATGGTGTTGGCGTTTACTTGTTTTCAACCCGAAAGTAACTTATGTTTTGGTGGAACAGGATGGGCAGTGGAAATGGCTAAAGTCCTCAACAAAGTCCTGTATGTGTATGATGTGCAGCGAAACACTTGGTTTTGGTATAACCCTAACCAAGATTTGTTTTACGCGTGTGATCAGATGTCAAACGAGCAGTGCGCTTTACCCACTCTAGTGCAGAAAACCGCCATTGTAGGAGTCAGAAACCTCTACGACTACCCTGAGGCTCTTTTAGAATTGTAAGAGACTTTTAAACGAAGTTTAAATCTACCGAAACAAGAATACAAGGATGTTAAGGAACTTTGTAACACAGTTAGTTTATTGACACCTTAAGAAACTTTTTTTTTTTCATGCAGAGTTTGTCTAAAATGAGTTGCAATCAATATCTGCAAACACCAGTCATTCAGTAATCTTCGGGGATTTTTAACTCTTCAATCAAGGAATCGGTCCCCACCGCAATAGCATGCGTTGCTCCAATATTCAAATAGTTGCTGTAATACCAATAAAATGTTGAAATACAATAAAACACTATGTTTAATTATACAATTGTATTTACATTACTTTTAAAACATTTTAAAACGTTTTAACACACTGCGCATGCGTTCTACACAACTCATAAACCCTCCCAAACACTTAGAAAACGTTTAAGAACGTTTTTTCCTTAAAATTCACTTCTACGCATGCGTAGTGCGCAATGTGGTCAGAGACACACATTCTATCCCACATGTCTAAGTCACAACTTTCATTCACCTATACAACTTCCCTTTTACATCTTATTAAATAACTACCTCCCGAGCACGACCCGATCCGAAGACGTCATCTTGAATACTAATGAATACATTAATTGATAATTGAATTTTTGATGACGTCATCCGAGGACACTTTATGACTACCTACTTCATAACCTACCACCTAGAGGACACTTCGTGACTATGACATGAAGTACTAAGTGTGCCTTAGGTGCGACCAATACTACTGGTGTGGCCAACCTTTACGAGTTGTGGGATTGGGTAGGGATGGCACCTTGCATGGGACCTATGAGTCCCGTTCGTGCCTATTCCCTCGGGGCAGGCCTGTCTCCAGAAAAGCTTGTAAAACTAAAAAACAATAATTATATTAACTGGTATACAAAAGTGATTTTGGTGGCAACATTTGTTAACTTTCCACTTGATATCTACCATATTTTGAATGACAGCAGTTTAAACAACTGTCACAATAAGCTCCTTGAACACCATACTTTTCCAGTTTACGTTTTAATGCCAGTGAACGAATATTATAAAATATATCGTAGCAAGTAACATACGGAGAATGGCCGATACTTTAATTTCTGCGATATTTGTGACCGGAATTTATGGGATACGGGATATTTGGTCAAAAAATTACAGGGATGCGGGATATTAAGACCCCCCCTAATGGGGCCTCAAGCCTGTAAGAAGAGATACTACAAAACAGTGGACAATGCAGACATCAGTTTTGAGGACCAGCTGTCAAATGTTGAATTAACACCAAGTCCCTCAGTCTGTATTTCACCAAAAGCTTCTGCCTCAAACAGCCCAGTTTCATCTTTGACGACTTTACAACCACAAAAGAGGCTAAACCAATTGCAAAAGCCGGCTAATGAAAGAGAGTCCACAATGCTAATTGGATCCCCAAGCCGTGGAGTGTATGTGGCAAAGAAAAACGTCATTAGGGAATCGCGCCTGTAGAAACGCGTAGCGAGTAAATGTAGCTTCTATTATATGTAGGTGGAAATTGGTGAAACATCGTTATTGTTTTGGAGACAATAGAAGAACAAAAGAAAACAGAAACATCAAGTTATGCCGTCTTAAAGCGTTTTGCGTGACTTTAATCAGTTGCAGCATTTCTCGTAACTTTGCCGCATTAAGACGTTGGAATGAAACGTCTGAAGCTTAGCTTTTAAAATCTTGATAGCCAAAATAAAAAGGGTGCCCAAAAAGGCAAGCATCTGGGAATTCAAAATCGACATTTTTGTCTCCAGCAAAATCCGGCGGATGAACAGCAATTTGCATGTAAGCATAAGTGAAGCGAAATAGATACAAACTGCCATCATTGTAAACACAACATTTCCTCGACATTTTTTCCTTTTGAAAGCGTAAATTCGCATGAAAGAAGTCAGCTTGCACAAAATAATATAAAATGAAACGAAGCGAATCGAAAAGTGGTAAAAATAAAGTCAGGATATTTCAATTCGATGGAAAGTAAGTGATTGGGTAGGTGATTTGCATACTGATAAAAACAATTTCTAGCGCAGTTCAAAACCGTTCGACTTCCTGAATTGTTTTTCTGGAATTCTATACATTCTGTTGGCCTAAATCGTTAAAATATCTTATAAAGTCAAAACATTTATCAACTTGAGTGTTTGCATTTCCTTATAAAACAGAGAGTAGCGCAAAAGCTTCTATGTATTGATTTTCTTAAGTTAAATTACCTTTGTATCGTGGAAACAATACGCTAACACTTGACTCTTGATTCAAAGGACGCGACATGCGTCGGCTTCCTTTGTGAGCGCGCAAATAGTCGTGGGACCCGCGATTTTGAGGGCGACGCGGAAAAACAGGCGCTGTTCCGTAATGTGGACCAAATCTCAAAGAGCAGCCAAAAATGATTTGTCCTTAAACTTTTCGAACTTGTCTTCAGCAGGGAAGAAGCAAAGCTGGGCAGTGTTGAAGGCAAGGGTTATAAACTTCTCAAACTGGACCCAAACCGAATGGCAGCAGTGAGAGAATGTACAGAGATGTCGTTCCCTCCAGACGAAAATCTCAAGTGGACAGAGATTAAAAAATCTATAGATGAGAAATGTAAAATGGTGAGAAACAACAGGTGTTTTGTGTGGGCAGGGGTTAAACACCTGCAAGGATTAAAGAAAAGGAAATATTTGCATGCAAATAGAATTTTTATGCTTCTTCCTCCCATTGTGTACTTTTTATTTCTTTGGGGGCCTGGGACTTGGGGTGGCATTTATTTGGATTATAGCCAATACCCTTTACCATACTTGTGCTTGCCAAGTGACCAGGCTTCCATGTGAGCATCACTTCGTTTCATCTTGACGATGGTTAAAGACGTGTTTTTTCATTCGAGGAGAGTTTTATTCATTTTATTCCTTTAAACAGTTTCCCCTTTGACCATTTGTCTTTATAAGTCACGCACTTTCTGTGTATGTTCGATTGGGTTTTTTCTTTTGATTTCGGTTTGGTCAATTTCTTACATTTTGCTTGCATGTGTGCGTGGTTGAATTCACAGCTTTCTTCGATTCGAATTTCTTTCTTTGGTTTTGTTTCTTTCTATGGCTAGCTCACCTCCTACAGTTCTTATCTTGGGCCAATCGTTTGTTCGAGGGCTAGTTCAGACCTTAGATCCAAATTTGATGCCCATGCTGCCGAACATTTTAATCTTTTGGGTGACGCAGTGATTCACTTCCATGGCGTGGGCAGTCGTACTGTGAAGAAACTTTGCCTTTACGACCTTGGTGTTGTTTCTATCCTAAAACCTGACGTTATTATTCTTGAAATAGGCACTATTGCTAACCGTCCCGAGGTGGTCTGTTCTGAGATCCAACCAATACCTCACTCATGTTCTAGAGCTTTCTCCCAAAGTTTTTTCCTGGGGCCATATGGGCTTTAGTAATCCCACTGTCAGTCCTTACTTCCCCGATGGCGTTCACTCAAACCCTCAAGGCCAGTATTCTCTTTATCGAAGCTATCAGGGAGCTATCTTGAAGGCCCTTCACTTGCTTTGATTTTCTCACCTTGGCGGCTTTCTTTTTCTGGTATTGTTTTATAAGGCCTTGGTGCTGGATTTTATTAATCTTGATTTTCAGCCCTTGTTGCAAAAATGTTTTGTAATTTTAAGCCCTTGTTGCTCTGGTTTATTTTAATTTTATTTTATTGGGGCCCGTGTTGCACATGTGTCATTTTAGTTGAAGCCCTTGTTTCTCTTGTTTGTTTTCATTTTGAATTAGAGCCCTTATTGCTCTGGTTTTATTTTATTTGGTGGCCCTTGTTGCTCCGGTTTATTTTGAATTAGAGCCCTTGTTGCTCTGCTTTCATTTTATTTGGGGCCTAGTTGCTCCTGTTTATTTTGAATTAGAGCCCTTGTTGCTCTGGTTATATTTTATTTAGTGCCCTTGTTGCTCCTGTTTATTTTGAATTAGAGCCCTTGTTGCTCTGGTTTTATTTTATTTGGGGCCCTTGATGCTACCGTTTATTTTGAATTAGAGCTCTCTTTGCTCTGGTCACGGGCTATTGCGGCGACACTGTGTCAGCCATGCCTGTTACTAAAAAATATTATTTACTGTATTTTGAATTTTCACTGTTAGTTCTAGGTACTTGGTTGGTTGGTTGTTGTTTCCTTGTTTTCTGTAGATGCCTCCTCGTCGTTCACAGCGATCCAAGCAGCCATCTGCTCAGGCCTTGGAGGCTTTGGTCTCCTCCCCTCCGCAGCATGTGAGGACACAGAGTTTGGTTGTCGATGGCAGCTTATTATCCTCAACCAAGCAACCCTTCCTTCTGCATGAATCCTCGGCAGCACAACCTGTGTCACGAGCAGCAACCTTGTTCCCTGTGCAATCCCAGCGACCTCATGCAGCACCAGCAACAGACCAGCCCGCCGTTTTAACTTCACCTGTAATGGATCAGCTGGTGTCGCGGGTAACAGAGGAAGTGACCAACCGGTTGCAGCCATTGCTTTCAAATTTAAGCTCAATGGCCCAGCAAGCACAAAGTCCCCCCTCCACATCATCTCAAGCATCTGTCACTCCCTGTGGAACAGTCCACTTCTTTACAGTCTTCTGGATCCAACAAGTCCAAGGACATGTTGCCAGATATTTCACTTAATAGATCAGTGAATTGCTGAGTTGCAATGTCGACTCCCTCACAGGTAGGGTCGATGTACGTTTCCTGAAAAGTCAACAATCGTGACTGACACTTGTCAAGTTTCAGTGTGTTAAGGAAAGTTTCATTTAAGTTCCTTTGCCAAAGAAATTGTTTACTAGGTAAATTAAACATTTCTGTTCATGGCATTGTTTCAGTGTGGACTGGGGGGTTGTCGGAGGAATATTTATCCAACAAACTATTTGTGAATGGTCTGAAAATAATGTGGGTCATTTCACCGTGAGATTCTCAATTGAATTTGTAAAATCACCGCTTACAATGATATAATCAACGGTCCTTATTCCAAGTGGTGAGTGATAAGTAAATTTTCTAAATAAAATTCCCTTTTGTTTTTGTATTTAAAATTCGTAAATTGCATGTTTTACATATATCTAGTAATATTTTACCATGTTGTTGATTTGATTATATTTGTTTCTCTTCCTTAAATTGTGATGAAAAATGTCACCTGTTATGTGGTTAACATTCAAAGTTAATTTGTTTGCTGACAGCCATGACTGAATTAAATTCATTTCATGATTCATTTTACGTTCAAGGACACAGGTGTCTTCTGCAGATGAAGTAAGGGTAGTATCATCTGCATACATTCTGGGTTTTGAAAACAAATTACATTAAGTGATATCATTAATTTAAATAGTAAGTCTAAAAAGTTTTTTCCGAGTTTACACCATATGTAATCAGGATTTAAAGAAATCGGTTTTAACCCTTGTTTGAGAGTCGCTTTAAGTCCTATAGCAATACCTCCGCAAGATCTACCGTGTTTTGCTGATTTGTACTTTTTGCTTGTACGTGAGATAATTTCAAAGTTAGGGAGGGAAAACTGAGTTTTTGTCCATGTCTGTTAAAATTATGATATTGTTACGATCAAAGCAATGTAAAACATCAGTATTAGTTGTGTTATCCCCAAACGAGGAATTTTTGCGTAGCCCATTTATATTCCAGCACTTAAAGAAAGTAGTTCTTTGCAACTTTCCAGCGCCTATTGTGGGATCAGAGGTCTCCAACCAATTATCAAATCTTTATACGATGGATTACGTCATGAATAGTGAAGGAGAATAGGGAAAAGGCAAAAGGAATTAAAATAACAATATACTTAGTTATCGCAAATCATGTCACATAGATTTAGTAACTGTAGTAATGTTTTACTGGATTCTGTGGGACTATGTGATGTTGTAATAGGGTCCAACATTTTAACTATCTCTGCGTAACTTTTGTGGGGTTGAGTGTTAAGTCGAAATTGTTCATGAGACATCGGAAGCGGAGGTCTGTACATGGAAGGGTTGTAGGATGATGTTGCTGATTTCTCGGACAAGTCAGGGGTTTTCGTTAAGGGAGGCTTTGTCCTTATTATTATTATTATTTATAATTATTATTAAATGTGTCATTTTCCTGAATGTTGTTTGGTCACGTGTTGGATGTGTTTTCATGTTCTTCTCCGGAGATGTTTGGAGAGGAGGTATAGAATGTTACAGGTGACTCATCCTCGTGCAATACTATGTCAGCTGTGGTGTTTACCGACAGCAAATAGAAATGGTTGTTTTGGAGAGTAGGATTCGTGTTTGTCTCAGGGTTTACGTGAATTTCCTTTTGTTCAGAGATTGGTTTCAAGACATTTTAGTTGTTCTCCGAGTTCTTTTCCGTGAGAGATTGTAAATTGTTGTCCAGGATATTAATTTGTCGCTTCATACATTTCATTCATTAGTTTTGAGGTCTCATGTTTCAGGGCGTCGTTGTGTGTGTCAAGGTCAATGACCCCAGATTTCGGTAGACCAGTTTCCAGTTTGAGCGTATTTTCCAGTTTAGTTAGTTTGTCCTCCATGTGATCTAATTTGTAGGTGTCATCTAGATTTACTACTAAATTATTTTTCATTTCGGTGACGTCTGATCCCATGTATCGTCATGTATTACCATGTATTGCCATGTATAGCCATGTATTACCATGTATTGCCGTGTATTACTATGTATTACCATGCATTGCCATGTTTTGCCACGTGTTACAATGTATTACCATGTATTACAATGTATTGTCATGTATTAACATGTGTTATAACATAGCTAGAAAATTTGCCTAAACAAATTCAATAGCGCGAGCATGCTTCATATTCTTATTGAGCATGCTGATGACGTCAATAAACTCTTCGCAATTCCTCGAGTTGTTAATGTGAGCTTAGCAATCCTGAGTCTCCTGAGTGCATTCATATCTCAGCAGTACAGATGAAGCATTTACCATGTGTTTTATAAGGAAATTTAAGAGGAACCGTTTGAATTTGCTAACTGATAGTAAGGAAAAGAGGTGAGTGTTGTTGTTGTCATCTCCGCGAGCTGTGCAGACTATGGCGTGAGCTCATTCATATCAAAAGTCTCATAATGGCTGTAATAACAAGACGTTTCAGGTGTTATAACCCTTCCTCACGGTACGAGAAAACCGTGTTTGCGTTGCATGTTTATAGTAGCGCGCGCATATATGCAATTCTAAGATGAAATTGATAGTCCGTTCGGTTGAAAAGTTCCTAGCTGGATAATCCCTCACTTATCAAAGGAAGTAGAAGAAGGATTCGCTTCGCATCATACACGTTCGCTCTCATACTAAAGCTTACGCTTGTCAAAAGTATATGCATTTGTGCTTGCTACCTTCACAAGTTTACGATTTGAAGAGCAGAGGACATTGCTCGTTCGGCCCGTGTTTGTCAAGCTGTTTTAAAAAAACGAGGAATTCGAAATTAAAGGAAGAACTCAAACGCAGGATTAAATAAACGGACAAGTCGAGACATTCCATTCTGTTCGTTGATTCATTGATCGATGTTGCACTGGATATTGACAACTAGAATCGTATTGGTGAGCTAATAGAAATTAAGCCTTACAGCTTACGACGTAGTGCTTGTACAAATCGAAAGCAACTTTAACTTCAAAGAGCGTGCTATACATTTGACACGGTCATCGTGTTATACCGTGCAAAGTTGCAAGCATGATTATTAATACGTTCCTTTGTCTCTACCGTGCGAAGGAAGACAATGGCTGCGATGTTAATAAGGCAAGTAGCTAACACGCAGCTAACGTGTTAAAAGCTAGTTCTTTTGTTTTAGCGTGCGAGCGTGCCGTGTGCGTGCGTTCACCTTATTCCCTGAAATCCCGTGGAGGGTCACAATTAGTTCATGTGCAGCTGTGCGTATATGTCGAGATATTGAGCCCTTAGCAAGTTTGGAGAGCACTTAAGACGCTAGAGTTGCACTCGGCGCAGCTGAGTGCAACTCTTCACCTCTTCCGTGCTCTCCAAACTTCCTGCGTGCTCAATATCTCGACATACGCACGCTGATGCATGAACTAATTGTTAATTGCCATGTATAGCCATATATTAACATGTATTGCCATGTATCACTATGTATTAGCATGATTTACCCTGTATTGTCATGTATTAACATGTATTGGCATGTATAGCCATGTATTACCATCTATAGCAATGTATAGCCATGTAATGCCATGTATTGTCATGCATTACCATGTAATACCATGTACTACCATGTATTGCCATGTATAGCCATGTATGGCCATGTCATGTATTACCATGTATTGCCGTGTAGAGTCATGTATAGCCATGTATTGCCATGCATCACTATGTATCACCATGTATTACCATGTATTACGATGTATTGCCATGTAATGCCGTGTATTGCCATTTAATGCCATGTATAGCCATGTATTACTATGTATTACATGTATAGCCATGTATAGCTATGTAATGCAATGTATAGCCATGTACTGCCATGTATCGCCATGTATTACCATGAAAAGCCATGTATTGCCATGTATTGTCATGTATTACCATGTATTGCCGTGTATAACCATGTATGACCACGAATTACCTTGTATTGCCGTGTATAACCATGTATTAACATGTTTTGCAATGTATAGCAATGTATTACTATGTAATACCATGTATTGCAATGTATAGCCATGTACTGCCATGTATAGCCATGTATTGGCATGTATTACCATGTATTACCATGTATTGCCATGTATTGCCACGTATTACCATGTATAGCCATGTATTACTATGTATTAAAATGTATTGTCATGTATGACCATGTATTGCCATGTATTAACATGTATTATTATGTATTGCCGTGTATAGCCATGTTTAGCCATATATTACCATGTATTCTCATGTACTGCCTTGTATTGCCGTGTATAGCCATGGGGTACCATGTATAGCCATGTATTACCATGTATTGTAATGTATTAGCATGTATAGCCATGTATAGCTATCTAATGCCATGTATTGTCATGTATTACCATGTATTGCCGTGTATAGCCATGTATTACCATGTATTGCTACGGATCGCCATATATTGCCATGTATTATTACCATGTTTAGCCATGTACGGCAATACTTACCATGTATTGCCATGTATAGCCATGTACTGCCATGTATTACATGTATTGACATTATACCTGCCAACTCTCACGCCTTACGCGTGAGTCTCACGCCTGCGGGTTGAAAACTTCGATCTCACGCCCACTCACGCCTGCGGGCCAATTTCTCACGCCTAATTGAAAAATGTGAGTTGCTGCCGTCTTGCTTGACACAATTTCCAAAAATATGTTAACTCGGACCCATGTAAGGAACGAAAACCATGTGTAAAATGAATAAATGACAATACCTTCCTCGCGATCTCTGATTTTTGAAGTGAAAAGCACTGGGAGCGAGCTCGCGTTTATACGCGTCCTAAGACTGGGACTGGGAAATGTTTCGTCACAGTATGCAAATTTCGTAAAAAAACACCCTCAAGGTCACAAGGTCGCTCATAGGGCGGGAAAATGTATGTGCTAACCCCGGGCTGCTAACTTCCGAGTTTTCGTACATGTGACGCCTTCGTTCGCTTGCGGGAGCTGTCGAGTTTTACTTTTACGAG